TTAGTGTAAGAGAATGTATTTAGACCTAATAATTAGAGCTAGATGCACATTTTACTATTTGGGCGTTTTATCTCAGAAAAATTTCCTTTATGCTGTTAATTTAGTTAACCCAGTGACCTACATTTTTTAAGATGCGCCCTTGCATGGTTATTAATGTATTAAGTGTAACCAGGTTTTTCCTGAACGCAAAGAATGTTCGTCCGTAACGCGACCAATGCACTGTTCATTGTTCGTCCAATACTTGTTCCATTGAACATCTGGAGAGGAAAAAAATCGCCGCAAATGAAAAGACGTTCCGCCTTTGGCGTGCTGCAGTCGATATGCGTCATAGACCAGAAAAAACTCAAGTAGACTGGAAGAGTTTGGAAGAAAAAAAACAACATGTTGTTTTTAGTGTAAAAACATCAGACGTAGAAAAAATTCTCATCATATGATGAATGAGCTGGTAATGACAGAGAGCGACAAGGTTTCAACATATAATGTATGCTTCCCGCTGAGCAGGGCTTTTGCCTGCTACATGCTATTAAAAATAGCAATCTGTTTTTGATTTCTTGAACAACACAGGCATCTCATTGTTTTTCAGTTAACTTATAAGTTCTTTTAAAGAGAATTACAGAAAGTTGCATAAATTTCTGTAATCTTCAGGCGCACATTTCTCCTCGCTTTCATAATGTTTTGATCAAAATTTTTATGTAACACGAAAGGACTTCCTCACTCTACAAAAACGAAATTATTGTATTTCTCGTTTGAATTTCTTTTACTTACTGAGATGAGAAAATCACGTATAAAAAATTAGCATTTTCAACACTAGGTTTTCCCATAATAATCGCGAATTTTCCAAATTCCGGGACACTTTTTTCTGAGGTACCTCTAGATTAATTAAAATGCAGTGATCTTCATTGTTCAAGGCCTCTACCCATTTTTTTCTCAGTAATTTGCCGAAATCATTACGCAACCGCGAGGAACCGATTCTCTACGACCCTTTTACCTTTTGACCAATGAGAGAATTCCTCTGTTGTCTGAAATTGGTCGGTAAAGGAAAAAGTTCTTTTGAGCAAGGTCTGGAGAATAGTTGTCGGATCCCAAACAGTCTTCTTTGAATATGGATGGTATAACGATATGTAGTGTGTTCACAGGGCAATATTAGAAATTAGTAAACATCTTCAACAGGATTACACGACTTGAAAGGGCTCACACGATATATATGGCATTTACACAAAATGAAAA